GGGGATCAAGGCCCTTTCCTCCCCCGTAGACCACGCCATTCACGTTTCTCCCTTATCTGCTCCTCCCTGCGTGCCCTAGGATGAAGAGGGGATGGGCTTGGGTCTTCCTCTGAATGCCCAGCTGGCCTGTGCCCTTTCCCAGTTTCCTCCACAACCTCCGGAGCCACACTGCCACTCCCTGTCGGCTGTTCCTCCTCTCCCTCGGAGTCAGATTCTAACAGGCATGACACCCAGAAGCATCTTGTCCAATTCTCACCAAACTGCTTGCCTGACACAATGGAAGAAATATTGCATGCTCTTTATTTGTGGAAGTAAAAGGATCCTTGGTCCATGAGTCACGTGGCTAGAGGGCCAGGTTGCCTATCAAATTCTCCCTCTCATTTTTTCACTCCCCTCTCCCTCTTTTCCACTGCTGGCAATATCCGTAGGTCTGTGGCGACTGAGATAAAATACGAAAGTCCACCCAGGTTGGAATAGAATTGTGCTTCCTTCCTGTGGTGTTTCATTATTTAAGCCTTAATGCGCAATCTTTTGTAAGGTACCAATTGAAGAGTCCTTGTTAATCTACCTCTCAATTGTTAAACTGTTGCTCCACCAGTTGTCATGGCCACTATTCGCTGCTGTCATCCCACAGGGCCATCTTCAGAGCCAGGTGCTGTGAATCTAAATGAACCAGTACAGCATTGGTGCAACTCCTGTTTTATTGCAAATGAGGTGTAAAGGAAACTTTGGCTATTGGGCAGTTTAAAGTCAAAAGTAAATACCATTTTAAAACTAAGTAAATTAAACTTTTACTTAGTTTTAAAATGATATTTACTTTTGATTTGAAGCGGCTGGATTTATACATCATCATAAACCCAGATGTGGTGGCTGTGCCATGCCTCTTAGTTGCATGTTTTTTAAATAAACTGTGGGTTACTTGATGCATAGACCCCACTCGGCTTCCAATAGAAATAGTACTGACACATTTTGTAGAGATCTGCATTAAAAAAAAAAAAATAGAGCTAAGGTGGCTTGCATATCCCTTCCCTGCAAAGAATAGTAGGAAAAGAAATGTCTATTGAATTCTAGGTTTCTTGCTGGAACCAGTTAGTCCAGCCATGCTGGCTGGGGAATTCTTAGAGCTTGAAGTCCACCCATCTTTTAAGTTGCCAAGGTTGAAAAACAAGTGAGGCCAGTCACTTTAATTTTCTAGCTAATCCAGCAGGGGTCTCTCTTTAGTTGCAATGCTGCTTATCCACCCAAATTCAAACACCGCCACTACTTTTTCACCTCCACCGCCATTTTCAAATTTCAGCTCCTTCAGATAGACCAGGGGTCTTCAAACTTGACAACTTTAAGACTTGTGGACTTCAACTCCCAGAATTCCTCCTCCAGTCCTGTTCGCTTGGGAATTCTGGGAGTTTGAAGTCCACAAGTCTTAAACTTGCCAAGTTTGAAGACCCTTGAGATAGACGGTCATATTGAAAGTATTAAAAGCCTGTGACATTTTGCAAAAAAAACAGAAAAAAAAACTCTTGATACTCTGGAGACCATCTGCCATGTCAAGTATCTCGGACTAGACGAATTTGCTCATCTGTCTGTCTGTCCATCTATTTTCTACACCGCCTTTCTCTGTTAAGTGACTCCGATGGTCAAGAAAAAGAATTCAACCAAGGTTAGCAAAAGCTTAAGAAGCCACTGATGCTTGGGCTTGGCAGAGCAGGGCTGCTGGCACATCCCTGGAGGTGCTGCTAGCCATTCTTAAAAAAATTCCCATAATGCCCTCTTATGTATATATATATATATATATATTTAACTCCAGGGCTTCATGCACTTCATTACATGTCATCTATTTATGATTGACCCATGACTTACAGCAGTGTATTTTCTCAGGGAAGACCACGCAATACTTAAAAGCACATTCACACTTAGTTCGGACCAGCAACATAAATACATACCTAAGTGCTGGGGCCCCCCGGAAAAACTTATTCAGCAGGTCCTACCTCTCTCAGAATCATACCTTCCAAAAAGTGGTGGTATTCAATTTTTCTTTATACTACCGGTTTGTGGGTGTGGCTTGGTGGGCGTGGCAGGGGAAGGGTACCGTAAAGGCTCCAGTCAGAGGTGGTATTGGCCGGTTCTCCAAATTACTCCAAATTTCCTCTACCGGTTCTCCAGAACCGGTCAGAACTTGCTGAATAACACCTCTGCTTCCAAAAGACAGCCTGGGAGGCAGGCAGGATTGGAGCTTACCAACTTTTTGGGAGGGGGGGGGAGGTGCTGTTCCCAAAAGAAGGAGCACCATAGGGTCCTTAGTGCTCTCAGCTTGGTTGTTTTCTTGCAGACATTTCATGACCAAACCAGGTAACATCATCAGGGCACCCAAACTAGTTAACACCCATCAGGGCATCAGCACTGATGATGTTGCCTGGTTTGGTCATGAAATGTCTTCAAATTAATAATAATAATAATAATAATAATAATAATAATAATAATAATAATAATAATAATAATAATAATAATAAAAGTTCAGAGAGCACCTAAGACCTCATCAGTCCTGAACTATATTCACTTCTATCAGGAGCAGTAACAGAGGGGAGACACACTTTCTGGCTTCTGCCAGATGATGGAACCTGACCCATGTCCATCTAGAAAAATGGAGAAAGTGATGATAACTACTAGCAGGAACCCTCAAGGTTTCCTAAAACAATCTTGGCCTTATGCCCTACTTGCCTTTCTTTGTAGAATTCCTACAATCCACTGAGATTGTAAGGTAGGTTATTTGTACCTGCTTATTGATACCTAAGCCCAGTGGTGGGATTCAATTTGTTTTTTACTACCGGTTCTGCAGGTGTAGCTTGGTGGGCGTGGCAGGGGAAGGATACTGTAAAATCCCCATTCTCTCCCCACCCCGCTAACCTGCTTTCCAGCTCCATTCTCCTGTGCAGGGCAACCAAAGGAGACCCAGCCGATCAGCTGGGACTCAATGGGAGGCGGAGAAGAGATGGGGTTGGCGGGGCCAGTCAGAGGTGGGATTTGCTGGTTCTCTGAACTACTCAAAGTTTCTGCGACCAATTCTCCAGAACTGTCAATACCACCTCTGCCTAAGCCATGTTTTTTTTTTCCCCACCTTGTTTTCCAGCTTTATGCAATATCCTAACCCAGTGTTTGTCCACCGTTTAAAACTTTAAGCAAGACTTCAACTCTGGGTATTGAAGTGCACACATCTGCCAAAGTTGAGAAACATTGCCCCAAACTACGAACACACAGACTGGGTTTGCGCAATGTGTGACGGGATTGGCTACTTTGTGTGTTCTGCAAATGGAGCTGTAGAGAAATAGACGGGAGACAAAAGTTGCTTCTTTATGTGGAAATAAAACAAAACCACAGGGAGTGAAGGAATGTCTCTTGGGATTACAATACACCAATTCTTGGTTACATCAAATTGTTCACTGACCAAAAGGCTGAAGATCCAGAAATGGAGCATGTGCTCTAGTGCAGCGTTTCTCAACCTTTAGACCACTTTAAGTTGTGTGCACACAACTCATGTTGGCTGTGGAATTCTGGGAGTTGAAGTCCACATATCTTAAAATGGCTAAGGTTGAGAAACATTGCCCTGTTGGTCTCTTGCAAAGGAGTAAGCAACTGAGAAGCCATAAACTTGCAGAAAATGTGATATCCTACACCTGCAATGCAAAAATTGGAACGCTGCAGATGATAGGTTATGCTGAGATTTTTTAAAATTAAATTTATATGCCGCCCATGTCGCTGTCTGAAGCAATTTAAGTTAACTATTATTTGTAGAGCAAGCCAATCGGTGTTCATACCATGCAGTAAAACCCACAATTACTGTACATGCAGCACTTTAAACCAATTTCAAAGATCTCGTTTGGATGTACTGAATTCTATGAATCATACCTCCGGATGAAGTACATGCCTGGGTGCCATCTTACGTGTGCAGTTTGTTGGACAGCACACACTTGATTTTACATGCTCTGAACAAAATACAAAACAAACTACATTAGTCTGGTATGCCAATCCAGTCAATGTTAACTTACTTACTTAAGGGTGAAATGAATCATGGTTTAATGCAGCATTTCTTAAAACGTGGTCCTAGGACCATCGGGATGCCCTAAGAACCTCTCAGGCCACCTCAAAATCAAAATTACTTGCCAAGCTCTGTTGCAAATAATGCAGCATTAAAATCCCTGCAGACAATCATCACTAGTGGCAGCAAAATCGTTCCATTTTATTATTTTAATATGATAAATATTGACCAACAGACCATATACAAACAAAAGCTCTTGCGGGATGGGGTCCCCTATAATTTTCCAAAGGGGGAAGCAAAAAGTTCAGGAAACACTAATTTAACCCCCAAAGCTCAAATTCAACTAGGCTTCGATTAGGCAAAGCCACAATAAACCAGGTGGTGTATATTTGGAGCATTTTGTCCTTGTAAGCTTGTCTCCCTCCTCCCCCCCCCTCTTTCTGTATATGTATGTGTGTGTATACACACACACACACATCTCCCTATCCCTATCTCTGGAGATTTTAAAGAAGAAATTGGACAACCGTTTGTCTGGAATGGTCTAAGGTTTCCTGCTTAAGCAGCGGGGGTTGGACTAGAAGACCTCCAAGGGCCTTTCCAACTTTGTTGTTCTGTTTTGTCCAGCCCTTTCCCCAGCCAGGTGCCAACGGGGATGCTAATTCCAGAAGATGGGAATTGCAGCCTGGCAGGGCGGTTGGCTTGGTTCTCGGCCTGAAAGGGGCCAGGGTTGGACTAGAAGACCTCTAAAGTTCCCTTCCAACCTTGTTGTTCGGTTCTGTTGAGTCCAGCCCTTTCCCCAGCCTGGTTGTGTGAACGGGGAGGCGGGGGGATGCTAATTCCAGAAGATAGGAGTTGCAACCTGCCGCATCTCTCCAAAGGCGGGGCCGGCTGGCTTGGCTCTCGGCCTGGAAAGAGGCTGGGGTTGGAGCGCTGGCGAAGCGAATCCCTCCCTCTATCCCATCCGCCGTCTTCGCGGGTTTACTCCGGATCGCAGCCCCCGCTCCCTTTACGGGGGCTTCCTCCGCCCCGCCTTTTGCCACGGCGCGTTTAGGAGACTTGCTCCGCCCGAATCTTCCGGGCTGGGCAGATTGAGAGAGAGAGAGAGAGAGAGAGAAAGAGGCAGCGCGCGAGGCTCAGGAGGTGGAGCGCTCGGCCCGCTGGACCTCGCCCGGTTCTGCTCCGGTTCTCCAGCCTCCCCCCGCTACCCCACCGTCGCTTGGCCTGTCTGGCGAGGAAGCGCCCTTGCTGGGTCTCCCAGGATGGTGATCAAAGTCTACATCGCCTCTTCCTCCGGCTCCACCAAGGTAAGGGGGACGCCGCCCCCCGCCGCTGCCTCCCAACTTTCTTCGCCTTTGTTCCGGAGGAAAGTTGCAACCGCAGCCCCCTCCCCCCGCCCAGCCCCCCTCCCCCTCCCCGTAGAGAGAGAAGACCCCCTCCCGCGTGGAAAGAGCCCCCTTCCCTCCCTTCCCCCTTTGCACCGACCCCTCCTCCCAATCCCCCCAAATGAGAGCAGGGCTCAAGGTGAGCAAGGCTGGTGCTTTGTGGCTGCAGCCCCTTCACCTGGGACCTAATTCTCTCCCCCCCACACACACCCCACTTCCCACCTTGTGGCAGAGGGTTTCTGGGTTTGGGGCCATGGAGAAAAAATGTGCATGGTCAGCTCCCATGCATTGGAATGGAACTGGGAGCCTATCAGGGTAAAATGAATACAGGCTTGTCTTGCTAACTGAAGGTAGGAGGTGGTGCTTAGGATGTGGCTGTGGCCTCTTCGTTTCCATGAGCAGGCTGGATGGCTGGTCTCCTCTGTAGTAAGGCCCACCTGGTCAGTGCAGTTTACTCCTGGATAAATAAGAATGGCTTTGTGCCTTAGTTTCCCCCTCTGGATATAATAGTCCAGTATATCTTCATTGGATTGATGTCCTTTCCTGCTCAGGGCTGGACCGCAACCATTTCCCGTCTCCTAGGTCCTTGCTTGAGGCTTCACAACTGTGTGCAACTCTTTTTTTTAATCTAGAGAAAGCTTTGATCTAAACTAGCTTTCTGCTTGTCTGGAGAGCATCTGGCTCTGAAGATGTTCGGATTCTTTCTCTGTGCAAGAATTCTTTTTTCTTTTCTTTTCTTAGTGCCTTCTGGGCTCCGGTTGGTATTGCTATTGCTACATAAGAGCTGTAGTGGTATAGTGGTTAGAATACAGTGTTGCAGGCTAATTCTACCAGCTACCAGCAGTTCAATCCTGACCAGCTCAAACTTGACTCAGCCTTCCATCCTTCTGAGGTGGTAAAATGAGGACCCAGATTGGTTTGGGGGCAATATGGTGACTCTAAACTGCTTAGAGAGGGCTGTATATATACCACAAGTTTGCCTGGGAGGAATCAAGTTGCCAGCTTGTCATTTTCCTTGTTTGCACATTCACCTTAAAAAAGAAAAAAAGATTACTAACCAGAGATTATCTTAAACAATAAGCATCCATTTAATCCACTTAGCACCCTGCTTTCACCATTCCAAGCAAAGGTCCTGCTGTTTGAAACACAAAACTCTGGTTTTTGTTTTGATTCAAAGACAAAAGTGTTTGGTGCCCCCACCTCCCACCCCAAGTTGCTTTGCTGTTTGTTCCAAATTTTATTTTCACTTCGAGGTTTTCCCCAAGCATTCTGTCCCGCAGACTGGAGTGTTTTACAGATTTCTCACCTTTCCATTCTGTGTTTTCATCCAAAACGCCTCAGCTATAATTCAGTGAGTACATTAAGTGAGATCTCTGTGACTCAGCATTGATGAGGGACTTGCAAAGCTAGGGAAAGACCGAGGACTATTTCCCGAAAATGCACAGGGCTGACCAAAATACTGCATTGAGCAATAGGGTGATGTACTTAGGGGAGTGGGACGCGATGGCTCCCTGGCTAAGACGCTGAGCTTGTCAATCAGAAAGGTCGGCGGTTTGAATCCCTAGCGCCTCATAATGGAGTGAGCTCCCGTTACTTGTCCCAGCTTCTGCCAGCCTAGCAGTTCGAAAGCACGTAAAAAATGACAGTAGAAAAATAGGGACCACTTTGGTTGGAAGGTCACAGCGTTCTGTGCACCTTTGGCGTTTAGTCCTGCCGGCCACATGACCACGGAGACGTCTTCGGACAGCGCTGGCTCTCTTTGGCTTTTTAACGGAGATGAGCACCACCCTCTAGAGCCGGGAACAACTAGCATGTATGTGCGAGGGGAACCTTTACCTTTACCTTTTACTTAGGGGAGATCTTGATGCAGAAGCTCTGCTTGGTCATCAGACTTACTGAGTTGGTATTTGTCAATTGTCTGACTCACCTGACCTATCTCTCGGGGTCAGTAAGAGTAATGCTATGTGTGAATGACCTTGGGAGACAGGGGAGAGAGCTGCAGACTAGACAAGCAGCAAGCAAAAGACGCCCCTGGCCCACAGAAGGGGGAGAAGGCATGCGAAACATTTCAGAAAAGACCCTCACTGGTTTTCTGGAGAGTAAAAGGAAGGGAGGGAGAAGTGAATTCAGTCTTGCAAGAATCTGTTAATGTTACACTTAACAATAAAGATAAAGTTAGCACTCTCCTGTTTGTGCTTCTTGTCGAGACCATCTGGGCAGGGCTATCGTCGCTAAGAAAATAAAGCGAGGAAAACCTTTGCAAAATCCCCGGTTCTTACACTTTAAAGAAAGCAATTGTGTGTTGTTGTTGGACAGACGTTTTAAAGGCCAACTGAAAATGGTAAATCAGCACCACCACGTTCTCACTTGAGAAACAAGCCTTAAAATGAATCTTGGGAGCTGCTTAATACTTTCTGGAGTCAATCGTTTTGAGTCACTCGGCCTCCTCTTGCGTTGGTGACCTTTTCCAAGTAGGGGGTTGACTCTTAAAAGTTCACATGGAAAACTCTTATTGAGCTGCAGCTTAGCTGAAGGCCTTGCGGAGGAGGTTTGAACTCACTGATGGGATTCAGCCAGTTTGCACCACTTCAGGAGAACTGGTTGTTAACTTTCTGAGCAGTTTGGAGAACTGTTTGTTGAAAGAAATCATTAGATTTCTTTAGAGAAATCATTAAATCATTAATCATTCAATTAAATTAAATTAAATTAAATTAAATCATTAAATCATTAGAGAACCGGTTGTTAAATTATTAGAATCTCACCACTGTCTGAATTCCCAGAGGCTAACCTTTGCTCCAGGAAACCAACATAAAGGCCTTCATGCTGAGTTTCTCTTTGTGCAGAATTACACTCTTATTAGGTTCAACACACAGAGTAGTATGCCGATGGATGTGTGCATGTGTGAATGTATCATGGGTGCTCTTACGAGTGGAGGGTTAGTGGGGAGACATCAGTGCTACTGCTTTAAAATGTAACCTGTTTGGGGCAAAGCCTATAATTACAAAAAGCTGTTTTTAAGCCAGGCTGAGACAATGGTATAGGCCAGGGGTCTCCAACAGAGGTGGTATTCAGCCAGTTCGGACTGGTTCCGGAGAACTGGTAGCAGAAATTTTGAGTAGTTCGGAGAACCGGCAAAAACCGCCTCTGACTGGCCCCACCAACCCCATCTCTTCTCTGCCTCCCGAGTCCCAGCTGATCGGCTGGGTCTTCTTTGGTTGCCCTGCCCAGGAGAATGGAGCTGGAAAGCAGGTTAGTGGGGTGGGGAGAGAATCGGGATTTTGCAGTATCCTTCCCCTGCCACGCCCACCAAGCCACTCACCAAGCCATGCCCTCAGAACCCGTAGTAAAAAAATTTGAATCCCACCACTGGTCTCCAACCTTGGCAACTTGAAGACTTGTGGACTTCAACTCCCAGTGTTCCTCAGCCAGAAAAGCTATAATACTCACCTGTATTATATATTTTTCTTTCTTTCCTCTTCAATTGATCACCATTCTGGGGCCAGTGTACACGAGCGTATTTTTTCCCCTTTGGGAAGTGACACATACGGTCATTAAATGAATCCAGTTTCCCTCTCATTGACTTCGCTTGTCGGAAGCCAATGGGAAAAGTTGGAAATGTGATGATCACATGGTCCTGGCTGCAACCATCATAAATAGAGGCTGGCTGTCAAGGGCCCCAGTTTTGATCGTGTGGCCGTAGGGATGCGGCAGTGGTTGTAGCTCTGAGAACCAGTCATAAGTCCCCTTTTTCTTTAGTGCTGTTGTAACTTTGAATGGTTGTAAATCAAGGGCTATCTAGAAGAGCCTGCAAATGGAATGGAACGGGAGAACTTGCCACAACTCGCTGCACCCAACTCTCCAGGACAATTTAACAATTCTATTTAATGATTTAAAATAAAATAAAAAATATTTAATGTTTTCATTCACATTTCATTCTAAGAGCCACAGTGGCGCAGAGTGCAGTACTGCAGGCGACTTCTGCTGCCTGCCGGCTGCCTGCAATTTGGCAGTTCAAATCTCACCAGGCTCAAGGTTGACTCAGCCTTCCATCCTTCTGAGGTGGGTAAAATGAGGACCCCGATTGTTGGGAGCAAGAGGCTGACTCTGTAAATTGCTTAGAGACGGCTGTAAAGCACTGTGAAGCGGTATATAAATCTAAGTGGTATTGCTATTGCTACATAAGAGCTGTAGTGGTATAGTGGTTAGAATACAGTGTTGCAGGCTAATTCTACCGGCTACCAGCAGTTCAATCCTGACCAGCTCAAGGTTGACTCAGCCTTCCATCCTTCTGAGGTGGTAAAATGAGGACCCAGATTGGTTTGGGGGCAATATGGTGACTCTAAACTGCTTAGAGAAGGCTGTATAAGCACGGTGAAGCGGTATATAGGTCTATGTGCTATTGCTATTCTGTCTCTCCTTTTGCACCCTTTCTTTAATGTTTCTATTCCCCCATTTCTTTGACATTAGTCGAACTCTTGTCCCACAGTGAATTGTCCTGTGGCAAGTTAGCCGTAGCGATTTGTCTCGTAGCAAGTTGGCTGCAATGAATTGTCCTAAACCCAAAATGAACGCATGCCGAGGTTCCAGCTAGTGCAGATCTTCCTATTATTAGCCTGTAGAAGTCTGATTTTTTCCTTCTTTTCTGCAGAGACTGGCTTGGCCAGTCCTAGGTATTGCCTAGAAGAGAACATCGTAAGAGTCATTTACAGGCTAGATTCACACCCATCTGTTTCCTAGGGCCTCGGTGTGTTTTATGAACTCAAGCGTCATGGTTTGTGTACAGCGTGATTCATCGTTGATTGCAGGCCTGGATGGTTGGGGATCAAACTGAATATTTTTTGAGGACTGGAAATGTGCGGATGAGGCCTGAATGTCCAGTCTTCCTGATGTTAAGATTCTTTTCTTGGTTCTTTTAAATATTG